GTTGATCCAGGGAATATCCGATTGCCTCTCGGGGGATCAGGAAGGAATTTTTTTCCTGCAGGAGCAAATTGGATCATGCTTTGCTGGGTTTTTTTGCCTTCCTCTGGATCAACTGTGGGTATAGGATTATAACTTTTTTTTTTTTTTTTTTAAAATGGTTGAAGTGGATGGACTTTTGTCTTTTTTAAGCCAGACTATGTAAACTATGTATGTAACAATTACCGCATTTTTCGCTCCATAAGACGCACTTTTTTCCCAAAAAAAAGTCAGTGCGTCTTATGGAGCGAATGTAAAGCGGCCGGTCCGGTGTTTCTGCCGCCACCATGTCAGAATATCGGGCCGGCCGCTACAGCTCTTCTCTCCTGCAGGACCTTACCTGTTCCTCGCTCCAGCGCTGCAGTCTTCCCGCGCGGCTTCTGTGACAGCCGGGTTCCCACTGTGCATGCAACGAGAAGCGCTGCATTTTGTGAATGGTCCGGTGTTTTCTGGGACACATGACAGGTCCCAGAAGGCTCCGGACCATTCACAAAGCACAGCGCTTCTCGTGCATGCACAGTGGGCACCCGGCTGTCACAGAAGCCGCCGCGGGAAGAAGGAAGGACAACAACTCCGCGGAAGTGGGAGCGGGTACTTGTCAAATTCAGGTACCCGCTCCCCCTCCCTCCCAAAGGTCCGCGGTCTCTGGTCATCCCCCTCTACTGTCCCCCCCCCTCTACAGTCCCTGGTCATCCCCTCTACTGTCCCCGCAGTCCCTGGTCATCCCCTCTACTGTGCCCGCAGTCCCTGGTCATCCCCTGTACTGTGCCCGCAGTCCCTGGTCATCCCCTGTACTGTGCCGCAGTCCTGGTCATCCCCTGTTACTGTGCCCGCAGTCCCTGGTCATCCCCTGTACTGTGCCCCGCAGTCCCTGGTCATCCCCTGTACTGTGCCCGCAGTCCCTGGTCAACCTGTACTGTGCCCGCAGTCCCTGGTCATCCCTGTACTGTGCCCGCAGTCCCTGGTCATCCCCTGTACTGTGCCCGCAGTCCCTGGTCATCCCCTGTACTGTGCCCGCAGTCCCTGGTCATCCCCTGTACTGTGCCCGCAGTCCCTGGTCATCCCCCCTGTACTGTGCCCGCAGTCCCTGGTCATCCCCTGTACTGTGCCCGCAGTCCCTGGTCCATCCCTGTACTGTGCCCGCAGTCCCTGGTCATCCCCTGTACTGTGCCCGCAGTCCCTGGTCATCCCCTGTACTGTGCCCGCAGTCCCTGGTCATCCCCTGTACTGTGCCCGCAGTCCCCTGGTCATCCCCTGTACTGTGCCCGCAGTTCCCTGGTCATCCCCTGTACTGTGCCCGCAGTCCCTGGTCATCCCCTGATACTGTGCCCGCAGTCCCTGGTCATCCCTGTACTGTGCCCGCGCAGTCCCTGGTCATCCCCTGTACTGTGCCCCGCAGTCCCTGGTCATCCCCTGTACTGTGCCCGCAGTCCCCTGGTCATCCCCTGTACTGTGCCCGCAGTCCCCTGGTCATCCCCTGTACTGTGCCCGCAGTCCCTGGTCATCCCCTGTACTGTGCCCGCAGTCCCTGGTCATCCCCTGTACTGTGCCCGCAGTCCCTGGTCATCCCCTGTACAGTGCCCGCAGTCCCTGGTCATCCCTGTACTGTGCCCGTCAGTCCCTGGTCATCCCCTGTACAGTGCCCGCAGTCCCTGGTCATCCCCTGTACAGTGCCCGCTAAAGTCCCTGGTCATCCCCTGTACTGTGCCCGCAGTCCCCTGGTCATTCCCCTGTACTGTGCCCGCAGTCCCTGGTCATCCCCTGTACTGTGCCCGCAGTCCCTGGTCATCCCCTGTACTGTGCCCGCAGTCCCTGGTCATCCCCTGTACTACTGTGCCCGCAGTCCCGGTCATCCCTGTACTGTGCCCGCAGTTCCTGGTCATCCCCTGTACTGTGCCCCAGCAGTCCCTGGTCATCCCCTGTACTGTGCCATGCAGTCCCATGGTCATCCCTGTACTGTGCCCGCAGTCCCTGGTCATCCCCTGTACTGTGCCCGCAGTCCCTGGTCATCCCCTGTACTGTGCCCGCAGTCCCTGGTCATCCCCTGTACTGTGCCCTCGCAGTTCATCCCTGGTCATCCCCTGTACTGTGCCCGCAGTCCCTGGTCCATCCCTGTACTGTGCCCGCTGTCCCCGTGGTTCATCCCCTGTACTGTGCCCGCAGTCCCTGGTCATTCCCCTGTACTGTGCCCGCAGTCCCTGGTCATCCCCTGTACTGTGCCCGCAGTCCCCTGGTCATCCCCTGTATCTGTGCCCGCAGTCCCTGGTCATCCCCCCGCGTACTGTGCCCGCAGTCCCTGGTCATCCCCTGTACTGTGCCCGCAGTCCCATGGTCATCCCCTGTACTGTGCCCGCAGTCCCTGGTCATCCCCTGTACTGTGCCCGCAGTCCCCTGGTCATCCCCTGTACTGTGCCCCGCAGTCCTGGTCATCCCCTGTACTGTGCCCGCAGTCCCTGGTCATCCCCTGTACTGTGCCCGCAGTCCCTGGTCATCCCTGTACTGTGCCCCGCAGTCCCTGGTCATCCCCTGTACTTGTGCCCGCAGTCCCTGGTCATCCCCCCTGTACTGTGCCCGCAGTCCCTGGTCATCCCCTGTACTGTGCCTTGCAGTCCCTGGTCATCCCCTGTACTGTGCCCGCAGTCCCTGGTCATCCCTGTACTGTGCCCGCAGTCACCTGGTCATCCCCTGTACTGTGCCCGCAGTCCCCCATGGTCATCCCCTGTACTGTGCCCGCAGTCCCTGGTCATCCATTCCCCTGTACTGTGCCCCGCAGTCCCTGGTCATCCCCTGTACTGTGCCCGCAGTCCCTGGTCATCCCCTGTACTGTGCCCCGCGTCCCTGGTCATCCCCTGTACGTGTGCCCGCAGTCCTGGTCAGAATCCCCTGTACTGTGCCCGCAGTCCCTGGTCATCCCCTGTACTGTGCCCGCAGTCCTGGTCATCCCCTGGTACTGTGCCCGCAGATCCCTTGGTCATCCCTGTACTTGGTGCCCGCAGTACCCTGGTCATCCCTGTACTGTGCCCAGTCCCTGGTCATCCACTGTACTGTGCCCGCAGTCCCTGGTCATCCCCTGTACTGTGCCCGCAGTCCCTGGTCATCCCCCTGTACTGTGCCCGCAGTCCCTGGTCATCCCCTGTACTGTGCCCCAGTCTCTGGTCATCCCCTGTATACTGTGCCCGCAGTCTCTGGTCATCCCCTGTACTGTGCCCGCAGTCTCTGGTCATCCCCTGTACTGTGCCCGCAGTCTCTGGTCATCCCCTGTACTGTCCCCCGCAGTCTCTGGTCATCCCCTGTACTGTGCCCGCAGTCTCTGGTCATCCCCTGTACTGTGCCCGCAGTCTCTGGTCATCCCCTGTACTGTGCCCCGCAGTCTCTGGTCATCCCCTGTACTGTGCCCGCAGTCTCTGGTCATTCCCCTGTACTGTGCCCGCAGTCTCTGGTCATCCCTGTACGTGTGCCCGCAGGTCTCTGGTCATCCCCTGTACTGTGCCCGCAGTCTCTGGTCATCCCCTGTACTGTGCCCGCAGTCTCATGGTCATCCCCCTGTACTGTGCCCGCAGTCTCTGGTCATCCCCTGTACTGGCCGCAGTCTCTGGTCATCCCCTGTACTGTGAGCCCGCAGTCTTCTGGTCATCCCCTGTACTGTGCCCGCAGTCTCTGGTCATCCCCTGTACTGTGCCCGCAGTCTCTGGTCATCCCCTGTACTGTTGCCCGCAGTCTCTGGTCATCCCCCTGTACTGTGTCCGCAGTCTCTGGTCATACCCTGTACTGTGTCCGCAGTCTCTGGTCATCCCCTGTACTGTGTCCGCAGTCTCTGGTCATCTCCTGTACTGTGTCCGCAGTCTCTGGTCATCATCTCTGTACTGTGTCCGCAGTCTCTGAGGTCATCCCCTGTACTGGGTCCACAGTCTCTGGTCATCTCCTGTAGTATATGTCCGCAGTCTCTGGTCATCTCCTGTAGTATGTCCGCAGTCTCTGGTCATCTCCTGTACTGTGTCTGCAGTCCATTGGTTCAGAATATTTTTTTTTCTTGTTTTTTCTCCTCTAAAACCTAGGTTCGTCTTTATGGTCAGGTGTGTGTCTTATGGAGCAAAAAATAACGGTATTTATTTGCAAACTTTTAGAACAGAAACAAAGAAACATGTTTTTGTTTAGTTTTTTTTCAAAATTTTAGGTCATGCAACACTGTACCCAAAGTGTGAGCACTGAAACCTGAAAATTGGCCTGGGCAGGAAGGGGGGTAAAAGTGCCCGGTATGGAAATGGTTAAGAGAATTGTGGGCAGGAAATTTTGATCCTGGGATGGTGCCTGCAGTATCATCTTGGCATTACCACTTCAACCCTATGGACGGGAAAGTAGTTTAAAATATAATTGTAAAAACAGGTGTAAAACAGCAAGGTTCCCAAAGGTGAACTTAGCCTTTTTTTTAAGAGAGAAGTGCTACACTATTGACACAAGTTCTTTTCAGTTAGTGATAAAACCAGTGACAGCAGCATTTCCACAGCTTTAGTTCACTTAAAGGGGAAATCAGAACGGCGTTGGAAGAGAATATTTTGAATATCTACAGAGGAACCTTGGTTATCACGAGGCTGGACTACTAATATATGGGCCTTTGTTAATCCTATCAGCACGCTGTATTGGATATGAAAAATTTTTACAAAAAACAGAACATTATTGTTTTCAGTTCATCCCACAGCAAACGACAAGAACATTGCATTTCTGGCAGGAACAGGCACTTTCTGTACTTGCTAAAAATGTTCTTAACCTGAAAAAAAGAAAAAATGAATGCGGCCACCACACCAAAGGATATGACATTTTGAACTCAGGTATAAATATAGTTGAAATTTGAAGTAAGGGACCACAGACATGTTACTGACATGTGTATAAGCCATCCCATGCTTGCTGCAAAAAGCTTTGCCTGGTTTCTTGGTTAGAAATATAAAAATAAATGACAAAACAAATACCTTTATTAGATCAACGTCTCCTTCCTGACACAGCATCAGCTCAAAGCCAAGTTTCGCCATTTCTGTCATTAAAGAAAGAATATTTCATTCAGCACACTTTGCAACATTCCAAAAACAGTATACAAAGAAGAGAATTTTTTTTAGATATTCAAGTTTATTCAGTATTGGTATGAGACATATCCAGTAATATATCCTAGAACAGTTTGGCTGAATGTATCACTTTTAGACCCTTAAATACGCAATTAAAATGCATACTGTATATGTACAATGTCTTCCTTGACAATGATAGGGCACTGTTCCTTCCACTGACCCAAACAATGAAGCATTATTCCTCCCACTAGCACCAATGACAGGGCACTACTCCCCCCACTGACACCAATGATGGGGCACTACTCCTCCCACTGACACCAATGATGGGGCACTATTCCTCCCACTGACACCAATGATGGGGCACTATTCCTCCCACTGACACCAATGATGGGGCACTACTCCCCCCCACTGACGCCAAAGATGGGGCACTATTCCTCCCACTGACACCAATAATGGGGCACTATTCTTCCACACCAATGGCAGAGCGCTATTCCTCCCACTGACACCAATGACGGAGCGCTATTCCTCCCACTGACACCAATGATGGGGCACTATTCTTCCCACTAATACCAACAATGGGGTGCTATTCCTCCCCCACTGACCATAACTTTCCTTCCACTGACACCAACACAACGGGCCACTATTCCCTCCACTGACACCAACAACTGGCCACTATTCTTCCCACTGAGACCAATGCTGGGGCACTATTCCTCCATCTGACACCAATGATGGGGCACTATTCCTCCATCTGACACCAATGATGGGGCACTATTCCTCCATCTGACACCAATGATGGGGCACTATTCCTCCATCTGACACCAATGATGGGGCACTATTCCTCCATGACACCAATGATGGGGCACTATTCCTCCCACCAACCCCCAAACCTGAGGCATGGTTTACTCTCATTGACACTGGTTACAGTCTGGACCTCTTAAAGTCTGAAGCATAGTGTGTATGTATTTATTTTTTTTAACAACCACATAACCGGAATAAAGAATATTTAAGATCTGGGGACCAGCTTTCCAAACAAGATCTGGTCAGCAGCTAACAGGTGAGTCTCCAAGCGGGGAGCAATCAACCAATCAGCAGCAGGGAGGGATGGAAGGACATCAGATTGGGCAAAGTAAGGGTTCACGTTAAATAAAATTGCCTTCATAGAGAAAACTCCCTGAACTCGTCTCACTTTCTTCATAGATGAATGGTTGAGAGAAATCATCACTCTGACATCATAAGTAGAGGTGGAACAAATATGCCGCCTACATGACATAACAGTCCCTTTACCAGATTGCATCAGGACGGTTCTGTGGAAGAAAGACCTCGATTTACTCTGTGTCTGATCTGATATGGACTGCAGCTGGAAGGAAAAGTCACCTCACTAATCGCGGTAAGTGTATAAATTGTTAAGTTGCCCATACATTATACAATTCACACTAGATGCAGTCCATGCTGCATTTTTTCTGCACAAAGGAACACAGCAAAATGCAACAAAAACACACCAGATGCATCCAGACTACGTTGTTGTGGTGTGAGCTGGCCCTTACATTTACCAAAACCATGTAATATGAGGTCAAGCCTGAACACTTTCAATTTGCATGCAATCGGCAGGCCCTTGTACTACATAGCTGAAGGTAAATCTAATGGAAATTGATTAAGAAAATTGTATTTAAAAAAAAAAAAAAAGGAATGGGCAGCTTAAGTCTGCTGAAGCGGATATTTCCATGATTGGTAACTTATCTCCAAGGGCAGGGGTCTCCAAACTTGCTAAACAAAGGGTCAGTTTATGGTCCTTCAGATTTTAGGGGAGCTGATCTGTAGCCATTGGGAGTAAACAATGCGTTAAGCTTGATGGTCAGTGGGGAGGGGAAGTGTGCCCCACCACCACCGGTGTCCGTGGGGAGGGGAAGTGTGCCCCACCACCACCGGTGTCCGTGGGGAGGGGAAGTGTGCCCCACCACCACCGTGTCCGCCCCCACCACCACCGGTGTCCGTGGGGAGGGGAAGTGTGCCCCACCACCACCGGTGTCCGTGGGGAGGGGAAGTGTGCCCCACCACCACCGGTGTGTGCCGGTGGGGGGAGGGGAAGTGTGCCCCACCACCACCGGTGTCCGTGGGGAGGGGAAGTGTGCCCCACCACCACCGGTGTCCGTGGGGGGGGAAGTGTGCCCCACCACCACCGGTGTCCGTGGGGAGGGGAAGTGTGCCCCACCACCACCGGTGTCCGTGGGGAGGGGAAGTGTGCCCCACCACCACCGGTGTCCGTGGGGAGGGGAAGTGTGCCCCACCACCACCGGTGTCCGTGGGGAGGGGAAGTGTGCCCCACCACCACCGGTGTCCGTGGGGAGGGGAAGTGTGCCCCACCACCACCGGTGTCCGTGGGGAGGGGAAGAGTGCCCCACCACCACCGGTGTCCGTGGGGAGGGGAAGAGTGCCCCATCACCCGGTGTCAGTGGGGAGGGGAAGAGTGCCCCATCACCGGTGTCAGTGGGAGGGGAAGAGTGCCCCATCACCCGGTGTCAGTGGGAGGGGAAGAGTGTGCCCCATCACCGGTGTCAGTGGGAGGGGAAGAGTGCCCCATCACCGGTGTCAGTGGGGAGGGGAAGAGTGCCCCATCCGGTGTCCGTGGGGAGGGGAAGAGTGCCCCACCACCGTGTCCGTGGGGAGGGGAAGAGTGCCCCACCACCGGTGTCAGTGGGAGGGGAAGAGTGCCCCATCACCGGTGTCAGGTGTCCCCATGGGGAGGGGAAGAGTGCCCCATCACCGGTGTCCGTGGGGAGGGGAAGAGTGCTCCACCACTGGTGTCCGTGGGGAGGGGAAGGTGCTCCACCACTGGTGTCAGTGGGAGGGGAATAGTGCCCCACCACTGGTGTCAGTGGGAAGGGAATAGTGCCCCACCACTGGTGTCAGTGAGAGGGGAATAGTGCCCCACCACTGGTGTCAGTGGGAGGGGAATAGTGCCCCATCACTGGTGTCAGTGGGAAGGGAATAGTGCCCCATCACTAGTGTCAGTGGGAGGAATTTAGACTAAATGACCAAATAAAGGCAAGCAAAAGGGACACAGTTTGGAGACCACTGTCCAAGAGAACAGAATAAAAAACAAACAAAAATGGAAAAAACTCCTTCTGAAAGCTTCCATCACTATAGAGTCACATCCCCTTCTGTATAACACTTTAAAGAGAACCTGTCATTAAAAAAAAACAAAAGCAAATAAATATTAAAATATACAGAATGCACCAAGGTCACCACACTAGTGGTAGGCAAACCCACAAAAAATAGTTTAGTGGATGATTAACCACCTCCCGTTCGGCCGTTGTATATAAACGGCCGGATGGTGGCAGTGCAGGGTTGGGTGGCTGTTTATAAACGCTCCCTGGGAGCGCGCAGCACCGCAATCCGGTGCCCGCTGTGTCCTCCAGACACAGTGGAACACCGATCGTTGGACGGGACCTCTGTGCGAGGTCCCAATCTTGTGATCACTGATTGGCCAATCAGTGATCACATGCAGAATAGTAAACAAGATGTGACATCATTGCTTACTACGTGTGAAATCTGGGAATAATCACAGAGGTCACATGGTACAAGGCTATTCACAACATCCCATCAATCATAGCTCACTCAGTAGTTCTCAATGGCTACAAGAATGCAGCCAGAGAGAAGGAGAAATGATTGCTTTTACATCCTTTATGGGTATATAAAGCAATCAGTGTAAAAAAAAAAAAATCTTCACCCCAAACAAATAGTACAGTGTCACCATGGTGACACTGTACTGTTAGGGTGACAGTATGTAAAAAAAAAAATTTTTTTAAATATTATAAAAAAAAATTTTAAAAAATTTAAAAAAAAATGTTTACAAATTAAAATTTTTGCTTATAAAACTAATTTGGGTTATTATTTTTTTTACTAAAAATATAACGGAATACATTTTGGCCAAGATTTATCATGAAATACTATTTATTTGCAAAATGTTAGAAGAAAAACACTTTTTCAAAATTTTTTGGACTTTTTAATTTACATAGCAAAAAAGAAATCCCAGTGGTGAATAAATACCACCAAAATAAAACTATCTGTCACAAAACAATGCTAAAAAATTCATATGGGTACAGTGTTGCATGACCGCACAATTGTCATTCAAAGTGTGATAGCACTGAAAATTGGCATGTACAGGAGGGGGGGTAAAAGTGTCCGGACTGGAAGTAGTTAAGGAAATATTTGTTTTTAAAAGCCAACGCATTTTAAGAGCTTGCACACACCCACTTCATCAAGGCTAGGGCGAGATAAGACTTTAGTGATGCCTGGACTCTTCAAAAACATTTGCAGATATCTTATTAACAAAGAAGAGTCAGAATATTGTATGGTATAGCAATGAGAGAAATGTTGGTGCTGATGCTCAGATTCAGGTCTCAGAACTGGAGCTTAGATTGTAAGCTCCAAGGATCAGGGCCCTCCTGTATTGTATTGAACTGTATTATTGCTGTATTGTCTCCCGTTATATTGTAAAGTTCTGTGCAAACTGTTGGCGCTATATAAATCCTGTATAATAATAATAATAATTTTTCCCAGCTACACTGGGAACAAGTATGCACACCAGGAGTCCCAGCCCTCATTAAAATGTCTAGGTATGGATATGTTTTGGCATCTGGGGAGCAAGGAATGCAGAAATAGCCAGGCAGCCAGCATGATCCTCATGGCCGGAGCATAAAACAAAACATATGCTTTTCATACGGTTATCCTCCTCTATTGACTCATATGTATTATGCAGCATGATCAGCATGGGAGGGTCAGGTCACAGGATTTGTATCCGCTCACATACAGACGTAGGCAGAGAGGGCCTGTAGACAGTTCTGTTTCCAGCACCCCTCTCATATTTAGAATGAAATAACACACCTAACCTCAGCAAATAAGGTACTATTTAACTAAATATACCAGACCTGGAAGACTTTCCAGACTCCTCATCACAGGTCACGCTCTTTCA